ACCAGGTGTTTAGTGATCGCCACGCTGGAGCATGCGGGCGTGTGCCTCGGCCCTGGTGAAGAGTTCCGCCGAGAACTTGGGCGGGAGGTCCTGTTGTGCCCCACGGAGACCTCTGAAGAGGCCTGAGATGACAGATGATGTCCCTCGGTGATGAGTGCATCTGTTGCTGTCGGATTTCATCTCCCCTATTCTTTAACCATGATTGATCTGTGCTGCTTCTGGAATAATGAGATCCGTAGTTACCTTCACGGGAAAGGGCAATGATGATTACTTCTGTTCTGTATTGTTCCGTGCTGTGACTCTGAAGTTGGATAACTTAGTCTTTCCTTTTCCCTCCTTATGGTGGAGAGGAAGAGTCAGGAAATTAGAAGTGTAGGGGCGTGGGGAGTGATGGAGACCGTTCAGCTCCCGGGCTCAGCCACCTCCTGCATGAACGTGAGCAAATCGCTCTTCTGAGTCTCAGCTTCTTCACCTGTAAAGAGCTGATGGAAAGACAAACCACACAAGCTTGTTGCCGTTATGGACCGACGCTGGGACTAGGTATTCAAGTCGTGGCACCGCTCTGCCCTCACCTGTGAAGAACAGAAACCTCTGACTGCAGCTCCGTGCCTGGCTGGCTACTTACTCATGAGAATCTTATTTAATGCCTTACGTAATGTGCTAGTTCTGAGACCTGTGCAGAAAAGAGAGAGACAAGAGAAGATTCCTCCCTTAATGTAGCTTATACTCCCCCAGTGGGGAAGGACAGTGATTAAAATAGGTTCAGACGGTGCTGAGAGCTGTGAAGAAATTAAGTACAGCTTGAGGTGATAAAGGTGAGACCTGAGGCAGGATGCGTGTGCAGACGGTGTGTGTGTGTGTGTGCACACGCGGGTGGTGTGTATCGGGCACTATCAAGTGGCCAGACTGGGGTGGAAGGTGAGATGAGGTCTGAATACTGGGTCATCGTTTCGCAGTCAGGGGAACCAGCGGTTGCAGGGCCCAGGCTGATTAGTTCAGGCTCAGTGCCTGGCCAGAGGGTGTGTAGGCTGATCAGCGAGCTTCCTTTATAGAGAGGCAGTGCTCATCAGTTTTTG